CTAACCTCACAGGTCTCGAATACTTGGCTCATTAGCTCATGAAAATGAGCCGAAGTGTTGCTTTTCCAATGTAGTATACGAGGGATGTAGGCATTCTCTTCGTGCACGACAAAATGTAGTGCAGCCAACGCTGGAAAGACCTCATAAGCCCAAATCTAGTTTGAAGAATAAAACGTCACTCACTGTAAACAAATGAAATTGAACTTGAACATGAATGGAAATTTGCTCACCTGAAGTGCATAGACAAAACCTTTGATGTGGTACTCTCTTGGTTTACCAGTTGCTATTGTCTTTGCTTTTATTTCAGATTTTTTTGTTTTTGCAGCTTTTTTGGGCACTTTTACTTGCTGGTAATCCGCACAAAGTGCCCTCAAAAGTGAGGCATTTGTCTTGGCATAAGACACAACACCCCATGGATACTTCACAAACTCTTTAAGGTCTCCGCCATTTTCAAATACCGCATGTCAATATGGACATGTTTTTCACTACTCAACAACACAAAAATAGCGAAGTATACAAATCCAAGCTTGAATGCATCGTCCTCATCAGCACAGTCGAGGAAGGCTGTTTCTAGTTCCAAAAGGCTTACAGTTTTATCGTTGCAAAAGTACTTCCTTTTCAATGAGCAGTTCTCATTAGTTGCAATCGGAATGAAAGGAAGGTTTCCAAACCTTAGCCCTGTGACGACGCAAAATTGCCGCACCATGAATTGGATCACCTTATTGCCAACGATGAATTTTATCCCGTTCACTTGGGAAACTGTCTTCAGATCAGCCTTCCTCAGCAACAAGCCGTGGACAATTGGCCAAGTCCACTTAAGGTCCTCAATCCTTCAAACCTTCGTAGCTGTTGCAAATTGAATTTCTTCTTTATGGTACTGATTGCAGCCTTTGTATGGGAAAGGGACAACGCCTTTCCCTGGAACTTTTCTTCCTTAGTAATCATCAACTTAATTGGAGAAACCATATTTCCCTGCACACTAATATTATACAAATAATTTCAGGCCGTTGAAATCTACACAATAACAAGCAATAAACACGCAATACACATGCATATCAAGGCAATAGGCAGGAGATATATCAGTGACAAACGTACAATATAGACAAAAGATGGAACCATATCACAGATATTAACAAAAGAGAGAACCATATCACAGATACATGTTGCCAAATCCCAAAGGAACATATGATCATGAAACCAAACAAGCTCAGGAAAAATAAGAAGAAACGTACAAAGAATGAAAGACAAAGAATAAAGACAGAAGTCCGTATTTTATAAGCAAGCAAACTCTCCTCGGTTATGTTATTTAGCTAAACAAACTAGAAATAGGAAGGAAAATGTCAATGTTCCCTCATTTACAAGTAACTCATCTCCTATGTTACACAACATTGAGTAGCCAACACAAATGAAGAAAAATATGTGATAATCAAATATTAGTCCTTAAAACATATCATGGTCAAATCCTAGATACACAGTACGATATATAGTTAGCATTATACCTGCCTGAATGTATTTGTAAATAAAGAACTTCTCCCTTCTTCAAACGCGCAAAAGTATAAAGATTTTTCTTCAAACCCTTGTCAGCAACAATGCTTATACTGTACTTAATCCCGAAGAAATTTGAAAGAATGAACTTAGGAAGGTGCAATAATCATTGATGGATAGGGAAACAAGAAGAAAGAAATAATGAGCAACAAAACACATGAGATGAAGGAAAAAGAAGCAATATTTCTATGAAAGTTTAAATTTTGAGAAGACTGCGATAACAAAATTCCAAATCAGGTAACTTCATAAGTTGCGTCCTATTGGATTAGAGTGTTTGGTTTAGCTCTTTCTTATTGTAATTTGGCTGTGGCTTTCTCATAAGCGTATTGTGCATAGTGTTTAATAATCTTTTCTGAAAAAGGAAAAAAAATAGTTCCCGTGCTGCACACAATGTGTTTGAGTGAAGCAATTAACATGCATTCCTAGGTTGAGGTGTTACAAATAGCATAAGATGCAATTTTGAAAAGATAAGAAGTTTTTCCTACAATAGCACTAACACTGAGATTCAAGGATTATTCATTAGATGCCTTGAATGTCTGTAGCCTTGAAAATCAAGAGTTTTTTTATTTCTAAGAAAGAAAAGAAAACTTATATCGGATCCAAATAGAAAAGAGGTTCATTGAGGTCATATTTAGTGGAAAGAAACCTCATTTAACGTATATGGGGGATAGAGTTCAAGAAAAACCAAAAGAATGTCTCCACAAATATACAAATGAGAATCAACCTAGTGTAATATAATTAACCAAAAAATTATTATTATGAATGCATAAAACATAAATCTGTATTGTAAAATGAACATATAACAAGGTGAGTCCTCAACAAATTATAAGTGGACAATTATTTTCAAACAATCTGACAGCTACCCGAGAGAACAGAGGGAGTTAAAGGCATGAGATGCAAACATGATAAACACCGTTAAGTACTCGGACAAACCCATGCTATATTATAATAGATATTATTAGATAGTTATACAGGCTGAGAATGTCATTGCTTGGGTTAAAATATAGCACACGTCTCAAGTTCATTCCACTTAACGAAAGAGAATGCAAGTTTGTAGTTAATACAGGCATCTAAAAACCAACACTCAGTAGAATTAAAGGGTAAGAAATATGTGGTGTATCAAGGAACCCCTAAACCCTGAACCAATTTCAAAGAAACCCCTAAACCAATTTCATAGAAACCCATAAATCCTAAACCAATTTCAGAGCAACCCCTAAATCCTAAAACCCTAAACCAATTTTGAAGAAACCCCTAAATCAATTTCATATAAATCCATACACTCTAAACCAAATTCACGAAAACCCCAAATTTCTAAGAAAAGGACGATGAACAGTACCTTGTGGATGTGAACCGTGGAGTTAAGTTTGCATGAACAGACATCGCTGAGGGAGGAAGGCCACTGTGTCGGAGAGAGAGAGCTGCGCGAGAGAGCTAAGCGACAGAGAGAGACGGAGCCAAGAGAGTTGAGAGAGAACACGATTTCTGAAAAAGTGATATGGGTGCAGTCAGTCGACAATAAAGATGTATTTATAGGTGGTAGTTTTAAAATTTTAAGGAAGGGGTGGTATTTTTAGAAAAAATTATAAAATAGGTGGCATTTTGAGCTATTTCTCAAAAAAAAAAAAAAAAAAGATGTACCTAGGATTCCCATTCACAACCATAGAGAGCACAAACATCCTCAAGATCAACATGTCTTTGTTTATGATTTTGGCCAACCGCCAGAGCGTTCAAACAAGCTCACCAGATGAAGCTTCTAATTTTTGGCGATACCTATAACCTCCAAATACTCGTCCAAAGCGGTTTGTGGTTATTCTGAAGAAGTTATAGCTTCAAAAATTCATTTTAAATAAAAAATAATATACAAATTTATAAATAAACCCAATTCTAGACATGTATTTATAAAAAAACCCTAACACTATTTAAACATAGAAACACACCCAAACTCAACCCCAAAATCAACAACTGTATATTTTTTGGGTGTGTTTATAAATGGGTTTTGAGTGTGTGTAATGATGGGTTTTGGGTGTGTTTATAAAGTGTTTTGGGTGTTGGGTTTTTTTATAATTTCAGCCCCATTTTTGGGTGTTTTAGTGAAACCCCCAAAATAATATAACACTCATTAAAAAAAAAAAATTGATTGGCACATGTCTCCAACCCTGCGTTATAAGAAATGCGATTCGAGGGCACAACATGAAGCGAGTCAGAGAGAGAGAGAGAGAGCGAGCATGAGAGTGAAAGAAAGAGCAAGACCGAAGTCAGGGCGAAATTAGGAGAGCAACGAAGTCTACCAGCAAGATACAAAGGTTTCGACATTAGCATTCTCTGCAACTCGTTTCTCATTTTTTTATTTTTTTATTTTTTCTAATTTTTTTCTTCTTCTTTCAGTTACCATGTGTTTTGTAACAACCCGATCCTAAATTAATATTTAATTATTAATATATTCAAGTAAAAGACTATTTTGCCCCTGGAATATTTTATTAGTATAAAAGTTGACTTTTGATTTGGGAAGGAATTTGGGGATTTGGGTGGGACCATTGCGTAGATCTCGATGAAAAGAGTTTGTAGACATGCAGCACGCCTGATTTCGAGTTGTAACGAAGGAGAAAAGGTCTAGAAACGAAAAGGACGTAATGGTAATTTTAAATTTGTTACTGTAGCAACAGTACCGCTACAGTCTGGGTGCTACAGTATGAGTCCAATTTTCCTGTTACCAAAGTCCCTGTGCCTCCATGTTTCCTCCCTAGTTTTGTGACATGTGGACTTTAACTTAACAGGAGTTTAACTTTGTTAACTCTCTTTTAGCATTTTTATTCTTTAATTAAAAGAATTAAAATATATTATATTAGAATACACGTTTGACAAAAAGACTTTGCAACCGTTTCATCTTCTACGCTTTCATCTTCTACGCTACACTTCAACCCCTACGTCTTCTCTGCACTGCAAAACTCAGCCACTTCATCTTCTTCTCTCTATGAAACGCAGCCCCTGCATATGGTTTTCTAGTTTGCACGTTGGTTGCTGGTTCATCAAGTAAATATGCTATGCTTTTCATGTTTTTTTCTTCTGCATTTTGATTGCTGGTTTTCAAGCATCTTTTGAAAAACTTATAAACATATAACTTGCGAGAATCATATACCTAATATGCAATTCATTTGATCAAATTCATTTGGTTTCAATCTTGTAATGACTTTTCATTTCCATCTATAGTAACAACGAATACAAAATGTGTTGATTTTTCTTTTCATAATTTTTCCGATAGTTTGTGTTTTGGTTTTCATCTACATCCATTTTCTAGTTTCATCAATAACTAATATGAACATATGATTGTACAGTACTTAGCTCTGTTTAATTTTTATTGAAACAATTGTAATTTTTTATTATCATGGAAGATATTTTAGATGTATAAATTTTGTTTGATTCAATTTTTGAAGGATATGAATATGAAAAATAATTGCATGGAAGATGGAGAAGGTGAAACAAGCACTGGCTTGAACATTTCAAAAGGTGAAAGCAACGAAAAGTCATCACAAGCTATGAAAGGTAATGAAAAAATAGATTTGGTTCATTCTAGCATTCGAAAACAACTAATTCCTGTGATTGGGATGGAGTTTGAGACAGAAGACTTAGCATTTAAATTTTACAATGCATATGCATACAATATTGGTTTTAGTATTAGAAGAAGTAGCTTTCACAAATTCAAAAGTGGCCAGTTGAGAGACAGGCTTTTTGTTTGCTTTGCTGAAGGTAAGCGGGAAATTGATAAGCATGTTTCTAATGTGAAATATCATCGTGCTGAGACAAGATGTGGATGCTTAGCAAGGATGAAAATTAGTTGTCATTTGAATGAGAAGTATCGTGTCATAGAATTTGTTTCTGAGCATAACCATGTGACTACAAGTCCGTCTAAGACTCATTTTTTTAACTCCCATAGGAAGATCACTCTTGCACAAATAGCTGAAGTTGATATGGCTGATAGTTCAGGAATTGCTCCCAAAGCATCTCTTGAATTTTTAAGTAGACAAGCTGGTGGTAGAGAAAGCCTTGGATTTATTCCTGATGATTACAAGAACTACTTGCATTCAAAACGAACAAGAGAAATGAAGTTAGGAGATACAGGTGGTGTGTTAAAGTATCTGCAACAAATGCAATTGATTAATCCTAATTTTTTTTTTATGCTATACAAGTGGATGAAGATGATTTGATCACTAATATTTTTTGGGCTGATGCGAGGATGATGGTAGATTTGATTATTTTGGTGATGTAGTATGTTTTGATACTACCTATAGAAAAAATAAAGAAGGAAGACCTTTTGCAATGTTTGTTGGTGTCAATCACCATAAGCAAACTATTATATTTGGTACTGCATTATTATATGATGAGACAATTCAAACTTTTACGTGGTTGTTTGATACTTTTGTGAAGGCTATGTCTGGAAAAAAGCCAAAGAGCATTCTTACAGACCAAGATGCAGCAATGTCTGCAGCATTAGCTTTAAAATGGCTAGAAACATCTCATCGTTTATGTATTTGGCACATATATCAGAATGCAGCCAAACACCTTAGCGGTGTTTTTGAGAAGTTCAAAGATTTCAGCAAAGATTTTAGTAGTTGCATATATGATTATGAGGATGAAGATGATTTTCTAAATGCTTGGAATAATATGCTTGAAAAATATACTCTCGTGGGCAATGATTGGTTGAGTCGCTTGTTTAAAATAAGAGAGAAATGGGCGTTAGTTTATGGGCGACAAACTTTTTGTGCAGATATTACTACTACCCAGCGGAGTGAAAGCATGAATAGTTGTATAAAAAAATATGTTAGTTACAAATATGACTTGCTCAGATTTTTTCAACACTTCCAACGGTTGGTTGAAGATCGTCGTTACGAAGAGTTGAAAGCTGAATTTAAAGCAAGTCAAAGTTCCCCCACATTGTCATTTACCGTAGAAATATTGAAGCATGAAGCAAATGTGTATACACTGAAAGTGTTTAAAGTGTTTCAAGATGAGCTATGTAAGACTTATGATTGTGCTTTGCACTTCATTGATGAGATGGGAACAATAGGCAAGTATGAAGTTATCCCGTATGGGAAGAATTGGCAACATATAGTTACATTTGACTCAACAAATAATGTAACTTTATGTAGTTGTAAAAAGTTTGAGTTTGCAGGAATCTTATGTGCACATGCCTTGAAGATTCTTTCTACAAGAAACGTTAAAAGTATCCCAGCTCAGTACATCTTGAAGAGATGGACAAAAAATGTGAAGGCTATGAGTGCAAAAATTAATTCATCTTCAAGTAAAAATGACCCTAAGGTAGAAATTGTAAGATGTTATAGAGAGTTGTGTCGGTTGCATACTTAATTAGCAACAAGGGTAGCAGGGTGTGGTAAGGCGTATGAAATTGTTATACAACGATTGAACCAGACTTTTGACGAGGTGGATGCATGTTTGAAAGAAAAATCAAGTCAAGAAACGTCTGAAGTTATCTCGCCAGTAATTAATAGTAGATCTGAGTTAAATGAGTGCATTAATATTGATGATGATATTATTAAAGTTAGAGGAATCAAAATTAAAGAAAGAGTTGTTGGTAGTTCTAAAAGGCCAAAAAATGCTTTGGAGAAGCTGGCAAAGAAGAGAAGAACTCGAAAAACAGAATTGCCAAATTCAAGTAGTGTTGATTCAATATGTGTTCCTACTACGAAAGCTGCTCCAGCACCTCTATCAGAATTTTCACAGGTATTGTATAAATTCATTATTAATTTCATCTTTGTTTGTTTATTACCCTGTAGCTTCATTTTATTTTTCTTATTGTATTGCTTGAACTCAAAAAATTGTAGGAACTTGTTGATGTCAATAATTTAAACATGGAATTTCCAGTTAGCATGGTCAATTTATTGCAGGTACTTCATTGCATTTAGTTAAAACTTTTCTTAATCGTAATTTTGTACTTGATTGAGTATATTTCACTCTTTTGACATTATATATATTGTATGAGTGTAGGCACAATCACCATTGGAAGGAGAATTTGGGTTGTTTAGCTCTCAATTCACAAGTATAGGGACCAAGAGTTCTAGTGTTGAAGTAGATCCACCTTTTTCAATTGACAAGAGTCACCAAGCGTCATAATGTTGAATTTGGGTTGTTTAGCTCTCAATTGTTGACAAGGGTTCCATAATTTGTTACAACTCTGTTCTGATTTAGAACAAGTTTGTTATGTTTGTCCTGTCTTGGCATTTGAACTTATTCTGATATTTGGCATCTCTGCCTTCTTAAGGCAAGTATTACATTCAATGTAAATATTACTTGCATTTCAAGCCACGAAGTCATTAATCATGATGCATACTTTCCAGTAAGCTCTCTCCATGTCAAAACATGATGAAGAATGCATAATGATGTTAATAATGTAGAACCTCATACAAACTTCATAGAATTTTGGGTCATATAAAAATGATTTCCGGGGAAAAATAATACATAATTTTTATAGTATAGGATTTCCTTCCCATCACTATGAACCTTAGCAATGGTTGGTTCTCAATGTTCACTTCCTGCCTACCATGCCCACCTTCACAACTTTGACTACCACTAGAACCTTTTTCACCAGAATTTGATCCCTTCTTCTTTGCACCTTTTTCACTAGAACATCATCTGGGCTGTGAGCTTCCTCTTTGTTAACTTTTGGACTATAGAAGAAGAATATTTCCCAGCTCTCCTGCCATTTGATTTGTCACAAACAAACCAACATGAAATGAACACGTACCAACAGTTTTTGATATAACCTGACCATATAATCCAATCACAATTCTACCTGCAAATGTAAAAGTGAAAATAGAAGTTATTAGGGGATAGGAAACCAATATGAAATCGGTGAAAGGTAGTTCATGTAATAGTATTGACATGAAACTGTACCTAAGTGCTCTCCCTCAATATCAATATCCAGGTATACTCTGTGGGTAATTTCAGGCACCTCTTGTAGTTTCTCTTCCTCCTACAAATCAAGTTAGAGACTCTAATCCAATTTTTTTTTTTTGTAGATACTGATTTTAGATGCAGGCCACTATACTCTTACAAAAGCTGCAAGCATCATTACTCAAAGAATAAACCACTTCAAATAGAAGTCAGATGTCAACCACCAAAGATCCCCCACTACCCACACCCACCTACACTTACATTCTGGTATTTGTTTTAAGCAAACCTGCACATTGTATCTGGAAATTACAACACGCAGATTGGGCTAGATAATAGAACCCACAACTAGTAACAATGTTTAAAGAAACAAAATGCTTAAATATGAAATGTATTATGACAACGAAAATAGCTAGACTCATAGACATGAGGTACAAAGGCAAGCACTCCGGATATAAAACATAATAATAGCATTTACACAGTTTGACCAACACACAAGGCTCAATTCATAAGCAGTTGTTCAACATTTAGGACAACATCCCCATCTAACCCCCACTCTTAACCATTTCACCATTTAACAGATTTCAAATTATTATTACCCGATAAAGCATTCATTAAATAGTGTATCTGTGGACAAACAATAAAGCATTTATCCCTACGTATATAAGGGTGATTAGCTTTTGATACACACCCCAAAAACGTCTCTGGACACCCAAAAATTCCCAGAATTGCCTTTGTAGCCAAGTGTCCAGAGACATAGCTTGAAAATAGGATCAATTTAAAAGGAAAGACAAGATGGGAATTAACTTATGATGAACCAAAATGCTGGAGGTATGCTTTCAGCCAAATCAACCTTCTTCCTTCTCTTTTTCTGGAATTTTTTTTTGAAACCAAATGAATTGCATAATGGGTATATAATTATCGCAAATTAATCGTTTAAAAGCTTCTTGTGCGTTGGCTCCAACACCAGCAACCAAAAAGGGGGAAAAATTATGAAGTAGAGCCTGGCTTAACTCACGAACTAGTGGCCAACGAGCGAAAAATATGCAGGGGCTGAGTTTTGGTAATTATATACCCATTACGCAATTCATTTGATAATTATATACCCAAGATGAAGCAGCTGAGTTTTGAATACAATGCTCAAAACCTAGCAATCATAAAGTAGAAGAAAAAACAATGAAGAGCAGAGCGTGCTTACCTGATGAACCAGCAGCCAACGAGTGAACTAGAAAAACAAACCATATGCAGGGGCTAAGTTTCGAAGAGCAGAGAAGATGAAGTGGCTAAGTTTTGCAGTGCAGAGAAGATGTAGGGGTTGAAGTGTAGCGAAGAAGATGAAAGCATAGAAGATGAAACGGTTGCAAAGTGTTTTTGTCAAACGTGTATTCTAATATAATATATTTTAATTCTTTTAATTAAAGAAAAAAAAATACTAAAAGAGAGTTAACAGAGTTAAACTCCTGTTAAGTTAGAGTCCACATGTCACAAAACTAGGGAGGCAACATGGGGGCACAGGGACTTTGGTAACAGGAACATCGGACTCCTACAGTATCGGGTTCTATTTATTTTCTTCCTTCCTCTGGTTCGTGGGCAGCACCTCCCTTCCCCCTATTACTATTCATCTGCTTGGTTTTTGGGCCACCACCGTCGCATCCGACCATCGTTTGGGGTGGCACCGGTACCAAACGAACTGGCCCGACGCCCTCCTCCTAACAGAGACACCAGTTGCCGGAAAATGGCCAAAACAGCCCGATTTTTGTTAAAACTCCCCACCATTCGTTCTCCCTCCTTCAGCCACCGATTCCGACGAATGAGGTATGGTTTTTCACCTAATTTTCGAGCTCTAGCTGATGGTTGGGTAGGATTTGGTCAATTTCTAGCCTAGGTGGTTTGACTTTCGAGTTAGGGTTCGGCCGATTTTGGGATCACAATTCCGGCCACTTCTGGCCAGTTTTTGGGGTAGGTGCAAGAACAAAAGTGGCTCCAAATCATGTTATGAACCTAGGATAGGAAGCTGGGCTTACAATTTGTAATTTTTCTAGTCATCGAAATTGATCAAGCCACCCAAGCGCTACCAGCGCGTGTGGCGTCGCATGGGCAGCAGGGTGGGGACAACACTCAATCCTAGAATGATCGCTTGGTCCTCACGAGCGCGTAGGTACTCGCGGATTTCAATTTGGATAACGTTTGAACCCCGAACGGATCTCGCCTATTGTGCGATTTCCGGTTTCGATACATTTGAGTCGTTGGATCATAGTCATTTATAGGTTGCGGCCCGGATAGAAGCAGTATCTCCGAGGCCTGCGAGGATTGCGGCTCGGTCTATGAGGATAGATAGTTAATTATAGGTTGTAGCTTGGATAGAAGTGGTATCTCCGAGGCCTATGAGGATTGTGGCTCGACCTGTGAGGAGGGAATTGATAGTATTATTGGAGTTGACAGATCAAGATTAGAGGTACACCTAGGCGGAGAGAATTTCCGTTCTGAGATATTCTTAAACTAAAATAAGGGAGTTCAGTGTATGACATACTTATTTTCCGTGTGTGACTGATTTGAGTAGAGGAAAGAACTACGTGTGGCTTGATCCCTCAGTAAGGGTACGTAGGCAGTCTGAGGTTACAAGGTGCAGCCATGAGTTGGAGTCTTTGAGATTGTTATTGTATTGTTGATATTCTGAAAGCTGAGATGAATTTTTTATCCAGAAGGATTTATTTGATTTATTGAGGTCTGAGGCCAGAATTATATAATGCTTGATATTTGGTTATAATTCGTTACATGCTGGCAGTTGGGTTATATATAAACATACATGCTTGTTTTACCGGTGGGAACTTTTGGAAAATGTCCAATTTACAGGGGAGACTCTGCCAAATTTTCGGCAGAAGTCGCACTTGAATTTCTTGGAATTCTTGGTTAGAAGGACAGTTTGGTCATTTATGCCCAGCATTCTCCAGGTGTCGGACACGTACAGGGTTCGACTCGAATTCCAAAGTGGAATTTGGGTCGGTTCCTTTCATGTTTGATATATGGTTTCTTTGAAGTCCAGAATGTGTTTTTAGATATGCATTTTCCTTGTACAATTTTTCTCTGTTTTAGTTTTTCTTGTTTCACTTAGATTATACTATGTTTGATATTTTAACTTGGGAGTATGAGTTTCCTATTTTAAAATCCTTTATCTTGAATCTGTTTCAGTTGATATTAGTTATGTGTATGCATATTCTTTTGGATGGATATAATTAACTCTTGCATTTCTTCTATTTTCATATTTTAATTTGGGAGTATGGGTTTCCTATTTTGAAATCTTTTCTCTTGAATCTGTTTCAGTTGATATTAGTTATGTGTATGCATATTCTTTTGGATGGATTTAATGAACTCTTGCATTTCTTCTAGTTTAACTTGAGAGTATGGGTTTTCTATTTTGAAATCTTTTCTCTTGAATCTGTTTCAGTTGATACTAGTTATGTGTTTGCACATTCTTTTGGATGGATTTAATGAACTCTTACATTTCTTCTATTTTAGGATGCCCCTGTTTGCAGATTTATTTTATTTTATTTTTATGGATTTGAATGACCTCTTGCATTTAGGATGCATCTCACTTTCAATTACCTTTTGAACTTACAAATTACAAATGCCCATAGACCGTTGGATGACCTCAACTTAGAGGGAGTTTAATTTGATGGCCAAGTTCATTCGCTATCCATCCAAATGCCACATTCCAATGCAAGAGGCCAAGAAGAATAAGCGTGATGTTGCAGAGGGGAAGCTTCGGGGAACCCAACGCATTGTGGTTGAAAACCGCAAGGACATCAACGGGCTAAGGAAGTTCACATTGAAAACTAAATGGAAGGGCATTGTTGCTATAGAAGATGACAACAAAAACAGAGGAAAGTTATGGGGCCATTTGAGAAGTGTGGCGAAAGAAATCGATTCAGAAGTCAAATTTATTAAGTTTTAGGTGTTCTCTCTCTCTCAATCATGCTCTCCATTTTCGATTTTGTTGGAAGCTTAAGACTTGTGATTAGAATTTCTTGATTTTGATTTAGGCGCAATTTCAATTATACATATATGTATAATTTTTCGCATGTTTTGGCCATAGGATGCAGGAAAATTTATGTTATTTGTATTAGAATACTTGCGATTTTAGGTCATGCAGGTCGTAGGTGGTATCTATTATGTGCCTCTTGATATGAAATTAGTGTTGGTCAAGTTTTGGTTTGCGAGGATTC